TTCAGGCTATTTTCTCCTTCTTTTGATCTTTTGGTCTTTTGATTTCTTAAAATATAGCGTAAAGGTCAAACCGTCTCCCCGTGGAGACGACTTGATGGAGCCGTGTGCTCATTAGCGCTCAGCATCTACAGCAGTTGTGTGTGTGAGTATTCTTCTGATGGTGCATACCATCATTCATTTGTGAAGCTTGGCTTGACTGAAGCTTGACTGAAAACAGATGAAGATGCCACTCAATCCAGATTTTGGGCTTTTTTGATTAATTACAGATCTGGAAAGGCTTTGATATTCAGTGTGGTGCGTAAATGAGCGTCTCCCTCCTCCACACTGAGTGGCCCGTTTGGCCTCTCGCTTTGCATGAAGCCCACAGAAACACCCTGAGGAACGCGCTCACACTCGCTTGCCTGTCACATTAATTTAGCTGCTTACTTTCCTCCGGCTCCTTTAAGCAGTTGTGACCCCCAAACAACGACACAAAGGCCTGAGAGGCCTCCGGCTTCATTTAACCTCCCTCCCCCCAACTACCTCTTCTAACGTCCCCTTCCTCTTCTTTTTTACACATTTATTTATTATATATGTTAACAAAACCGCGCCTTTGTCTGTAACAAATCTCCTTTGATTATCCAATTAGGAAAAATGTTATAAGGATGTGATAATCTGGGTTTTTTTCTTCTGAGATTGCAATGAATGTACGTTACCAAATTGGTCTGAATAGTTTGGATGCAACTCAGTCTCACAACAAAACGTGCAATAGCTACGTTGTGGAACGTGGTATTATCACGCTTTCTCCCCAAAATTGTGACAATTATACTACGCCAGGTTAATACTGTGGTTTATTTTGGCCCATTCATTGCCTTACGTCACTAGAAAACTAGAAACTAACGCAAAGTCTCCTACATTCTCTGATAGAAGATTATGAAAATATAACGCATACTTCTCGCTAGAAATGCCATCGAAATGCATACAAATGCTGATGGTTTCTTAAAATATTGTGTTTTTCACAGATAATAGACCATTTTCTTTCTTTAGCTGAGGGGAAGTTGATAGTCACGTGACCTCGTTGCAACTAAAACGTATTGTCACGCTTTCTCCCCAAAAGCGTGACAATACCACGTTCCACAACGTGGCTATTACAAGTTTTTCTGTGAGACTGGGTTGTTTGGGTGACATACTGTACTATGGATATTACTACTATTTTACCATAAACTGTACCGTCAGTTTTAGGTCATTTGAATGTCACATTAAACAGTAGACTTTAAAAAGTGTTCTACTAATTTTCTCTTTATGACATACTAATCTGTAACCTTTAATAATCTGCACGCTGCGCTCCATCGTTCCCGGACCAGCAGGTTCAGGAACAGCTTCGTCCCTGCGGCTGTCACTCTACTGAACTCTGCGCCCCCTGAACTCTCGGGGTTGTCGTGGCGCAGGGGTTAGAGAAGGTGTGCTGGGAAGGTGTGCTGGGAAGCACAAGGTTGTTGGTTCGATTCCAGGCTGCCCCATGTTCCACGTCGAAGTGTCCCTGAGCAAGACACCTAACCCCTAATTGCTCCCCGGGCAAAAATGTGAAAAAGCCATGGGTTTAAAAGTGTAATGTAAGTTGCTTTGGATAAAAGCATCTGCTAAATGACCTGTAATGTAACTCTGAACTCTGCCCCCCACCCCCACACACCCTCAGTGACTGTACTTCCCCCCTCCTCCCTGGCTTGACTGCCACACCTTCCTCCACCCACTGAACATTTGCACTGTTATTGCATATCCATTTCTTACTGTTCATATTGCATAACTATTTCTTACTGTACATATCTATTTATTCACTTATTACACTTTACATATGCACATACTCTGCACGTTTTGCTATTTTTGCACCTTTGAATCTAATCTAATCTAAACCAGAGGAAGTATAACGTCTTCATTCTAAGCATGTTTCTCCAAAGACAGACCAGAATTATGTGTTACATTGTGAAATATTTCATAATGTTGATGACTGAATGTATTTAGTGGTAAAATAACGGCGCTCAGTGGGAGTTGCATGGGGAGGATACGGAAACCATCGCTTCAATGTGTGAAATTAACAATATTTGTTGGAATGTGTTTGAATCTCCTGAACATTTGAGTTTCTCTTGAGAGCTTCTTTGGATGTGCGATCTTAATTACCTCCGAGGACCTCCTCGTTACGGCTGCGCTTGATGGAGGAGGACGTGAACCAAGTTTATAATCACGTTCAATTAGCGCTCCTTCACATTTTATTTGAGCCTTTCGACTGTGCTAATCACTTATATGTACCAATTATTTGCTTTGCTGAGCTTGTTAACCCCCGCGTTCACCTCGGCGGTTGAAGCGATTGCTGTGAGGAGCGTTTCACACTTTCCCTTTTTATGAAACGCACCTTTTTTTTTTTTTTGGTGTCTGCGAGCCATTAATCTGCTGCTGGTCATTGATCAGTCTGCATATGCATTTAGCATCCGGGTTTCTCACTAAACAGATCTCAGATGTATCATTCCTTCATCCTCCTCATCACCTCATATCCCTCGATATGAAGTTTCCAAATTGTTTAGTTTGTCTTTAGTTTGTCTTTAACAGAGACAAACTAAAAATATTCCTCCTCAGCATGAATGTCGTCGACTGATCCTCTGGTCCAAAGTCAGGGTTTGTTTTGTGCCTCAACGTCTGAACTTCTGTCCATCTCGATGGTCCCATTGAGGATCTGAGATGTTCGTTTGGGCGCTTTAGGAGTTTTTTGTGGCTTGTTTTCTCCCTCAGCTTCCAGTCTTATTAGTCAATATTAAACAGAGTGACATTGATGACACTTCTGTGTAGCACCTAGTTAACGTTGGTGTTATTTGTGCAATCAATCTTTTCAAAGCACAGAAAATAAATTTCATGTTCTATAATCCATTAAGTACCAACTGTAATGGTTCTTCACAGGCCTCATAAACGTTCATTGTTAGTCAAATGTCAAAATGCATGTATTGTGAACACAAGAACATGAATTGTATTTCCTGCTGCAGATGTGGAGCTTTTATTCTAATCTTCTGTCATGCTTTATATTCAGTAAGGTGGGTTTTTTCCCCCCACTGGCTACAGGAAAGAATTGGCTGTGTTTCACTTCACCTGAATCCTTTCAAATCCCTTCTAGTCCCACCCGGAAAAATGATTAACAGTTTAGCCATTGTTCTCACAAGTCTGTGTGATCAAAGAACAGGGGGGGGGGGGGGGGGCGCACGCTTTTAGAACTGTAAAAGCATTGAATTATACACAACTCAACACACACACAGGGACACGCACACAAAGCCCTTCTCTAGTGCGAGTCCCCGGTGCCGAGTGGGCTCTTGTGTCCGGCACGGCCTGATGAAAGCGTCTCATCTTAAGGACGGGTCGGGAGATGGAGCGAAGGCTGAATGCTATCAAAGGGACCCAAATGACCTCTGGGAGCTGAAGCACCGGTGCTCTCTGCCTCTTTACGAGCTCCCTTTAATCTCACACCGCTCTCCGCGGCGAGCACTTGGTTATCCGTCGAGTGAAAGGGAAAAAGATAGAAAAAAATAGATATTGCACCCTCACGCACCCCTCTCAGTTTTCGTCAGGCGACTTGGTTCTGGCCCAAATCGCAGTGGAAACACAGACAGGGCGGGGATGGAGGAAAGGAGTCAGGGGAAGATGGACACATAAAAAGGTGGAAAAAAAAGAGGGAAAGAGCTCATTTTGCCCTCCTTTTCTTCTTCGGTGCCACAAATCAGACTGCTGTCAGGTAAGAGGGGGAGTGAAACATTCGCCTCCCCCGCTGGAATGGGCCGAGCAGAGGAAATGGGAGAGGAGCGAGGTGCCTGCTTCACTCCTCCACAGCAGAAGATGTCGAGAGAAGAAAAAACATCTTCCATCAAAAGGTTTTTGAAGGCCGAGCTTTTTACAGCAGCACATGCGAATATAGAACGTCATAAAAATACCATAAAAAAAGCCATCGTAAAGTAGGTCATGAAAAGGTCAGTCTAGTTTCTCAAAAATATAACGTGCAACTACATTTCGAAACTATATTGACCCTGAATTAATTTTCTATTGAGGAAACATTTGTCTATGAAAGCCCAAATAAATGTCAGGGTGAGATGAGGGCAAGGCATCTCATTTCAAATCAACTTGGCCAAGTGTTGAAAAGTCAAAAAGGGACACGAGGCTCGATCACTTTTATCTGTCAGCATTTGTCAACCTTTAACCGAAGGCGCTGCCTTCCTTAACCCCAAACTCCCCGTTTGAGGTTCGGCCGTTTAACCGGTCGGGTGAAAAGCAGCAGGACTCTCATCCAGTCAGAACCCCCCCCAACCCCCATCAGAGTGAAATGAGTGCACTCCCCACCACGCGGGGGGGGGGGGGGGGGCCCAAGCAGAGAAAACTCTTAACACGTGGTGGGTCTGACGCACATGAAGCGTTTCGCAATCGTCAGTGACACCAGCACAAGGCCACAGATTCCCACGGCAGCTCGTCCTTCTCTGAGGTGTGTGTGAGGAATGTGTCTCTACTGGTTCTGTGATTGAAGTGGGAGAGAGTGTGTGTGTGTCTCTTGGCAGGCCCGTCCGATCCTGAGCCGTGTCTCATTCCTCCCACTGTCGCCTCAAACCATCCCGCCTGGAGACAAAAGCAGTTAACTCGCACCTTTTTTTTATTTATTTTTAAACATTAGATTTAGTCTTTCGTGCCGCTGTGTGCGCGCTGACAGATATGTGACATTTAACAGTTCCCATCAGCAGAAACGACACCTGCAACAAGAACTCCATTTTCTCTCTCCGTGGCAGCTGGTCTCCCATCTTAACATGTGAATTTACAGACCGAAACACCAGAGTGTTCTTTCACACCAGGCTTCGCTCTTTAAATATTAGATAACAAGAAACGTGTGCTAGCTAATTTTATAGTCGAGCCCCTGCTAAGGAGGGGAGGGGGAGGGGAGGGTTCATACCTTTCAGTGTCCTGAGCGGCGATGAAACCGTCAATCACAAAGAAATGGGACCATCTACAAAAACGGTTTTATTGGTTTATTAACAACTGTACATGTCTTTCAGTGCTGACAGCATTTGCTACATACTTTGGTGTGATTCAGGGGCCGCTCGTCACTGCTTTACATGGTTTTTTTGTTGTTGTGGGAAATGCAGGTTTCAGGAACACGGAGCACGTCAATTATTGCTCGCCGTTGTCTCGCCGTCGCCACGGGAGACACTCGAGTGACCAATTCGTGTTTACATGTTAAGTGCCGTCTTCACGTCTGCGCCAATCAAAACATTCCAGGAATATTGATACGATACAAAAGGGCAGAAGGATTCCAATAGTGCAGCTTGAACTGTTTGAGTTTAGTCTCTCGCCAAGAAATCAATGGGGCCATTAAACATCCACATTGCGTCAAGTTAGCAAAAAGCACATTTCCATTCAGTTTGTGGCTGCCGCCAACTCAGGTCCAAGGGTGAGGCTGGACACGAAACGTCCCCCGTCTCCCACAATCCAACGAAGTAAAACAAACAGGGAGATAGCACAGACAGAGCAGTACACTTTAAAAAGGTCTCGTGTTATATAATAGGAATTAAATTTACATCCATTTCTTTTCCTGAATCATAGTGTCCTGCTCCGTCCTACAGTGGTCCAAACCAGCTGAGTCTCTGCCGGAGTCAGAGGACTCCACGTGTCCATTGTCCCGTAAGAGCACTGTGACAAAAAAAGGCCTTTTTAAAAATCTCCACAAAACGTCCTACTTACAAGATTGATTTCTGGAAAAGGTCGGCTCGGAGGATGTGCTTTAAGAAAATCAAGGGTAAAATCGTTAAAAAGTTCTAACCTATGTTCCGCTGTCCCACTCAAATATCAAGGCATAAGACAGAGTGGGATATTGATCACAAGTACACCCAGGACATGAAAATATATATATTTTATAATATATATATATAAAGTGTCTTTTATTTAATCCGATATGTACACTTTTCACAGGACGTCTGGGGGAGGCGAGGTTCTCAGAAATGAAGCGCCGCTTCATCGGTTCACACCCAAATATTCTCAGGGGCGGCAGAGAAAAAAAAAAAAAAGATAGTCACAAAAAATGTGTAACCCCCAAAAATGTACCCTTCCACAAAAAAACAAAAAAAAAAGTACAGAAAACCTTCTTTCAGCACAAGCATCCTTTTGTCGACAGCTCCATCGATCCCCAGCGTGTGCTTCACGTCGGCGTGTTGTAGTCCACACGTTAGGAGCCGGCTCACCAGTGCTGAAGCAGGAGCCTCGTCCCGCTCTAGTAGATGACCTCGTACACGGTGGCCTTCTTGTCCCCGGACCCGGTCACGATGTATTTGTCGTCCGCTGAGATGTCGCAGCTCAGGACGGAGGACGACTCCTTCGACTGTGGAAGTAAGAAAAGAAACTTTAATCAGAGGAGGACAAGCGTATGTGTTATAATAATCACCAAAGAAGTTTGCTCTCGTGAAGAATCACATTTGTGTTTATATTTATGATTTCATGATGTAAAAACACCGTCTTGTTTTAGGAACATGAAGGTACCTTTATTATTTGTGTGTTCGTTACCTGGAATATGCTGGCACCATAAGGAGTCCTCCATGCGTTCAGCAGGTTGTCCTTCCCTGTGCTCACAAACCATTTACCTGCAAACACAAAACAGACGGCCCGAGAATAAGATGTTAGTCCATCACATCGTGTCTTCCATGGTCTCAGAATATATTCACACCAAACCTCCAACCCACAACATCAGCTAACTAGAGACAAAACGTATTTGGGGGGGTAAATTACACTACATTAACAATCATAATGAAGACGACTCACTGTTTCCCCTCTGATAATTATTTAAATCACCCTGCGATTAATTACCCAACTGACTAGTTGGGTAATAATTTAATTAGTGGCAGCGAGAGCCCTGAAGCAGCGAGTGTCGTTTGAATTAACCAGTTCTGCTGAGGGGGTCTCGTGAGGAGAAATTAAAACGGAGTGAGCCGATAGCTGAAACCTCATTTGTCGGAGACTCGACGCCAGCTGGTCTGCCCAGCGGGCACAGCGATGTGAGCCGGGGAAGCGGCGACAAATTGAATGCGCATATTGTGATGTGCGAGCCGGTCACTGACCACAGTAGGCGAACTTGAGTGAGAGGACGCAGCTCTCGTGCAGGTGCAGCTGGTACTTGTCAGGCTTGGTGTGGTGGAGCACTTCCACGTTGCTGCTCTCCATGCCCACGGCCAGCCACTCGCCAGTGGGGCAGTAGCCCAACGAGAAGATCTGCACCAAGGAAACAGGATCACTCATCTGTGGGGGGTCTTCAACACTTGCGATGTGGTTTGGTTTTTCGTTTTTCGTTCTCTACCTGTGAGGTGAAGTCGTGTTGCTGGAGCTGTCGGCCCTCCCTCAGATCCCAGGAGCGGACAGTGTTGTCGAGCCCTCCGGTCCACAGTTTGGTCCCGTCGTGGGAGATGTCGATGCAGCTGGCTCCGTCCGTGTGGCCCTGGAACTGCCTGGAACAGCGGAGCACCGAGTCAGAAACAGAGGGCGAAGCCTTCCATCTTATGAGCTGAGTCAATTCAAGCTCTCAGTCGGCGTTTCGAACAAACCCATGTGAAAAACACAAAGCACCGACCTCACGAGGGTCTGGTTGTGGAGGTCCCACACGGCAATGTTTCCGTCCGAGCAGCAGGAGAAGCAGACCTTGGCGTCCGGGCTGATGGCCAGCGCGTAGCAGGCCGGAGCGGAGGAAGTGAGCTCGGCCTTTATGCGCGGCGTCTGGGAGGCCAGGTCCCAGATGGTCAGCGTGCTGGCCTCGCCGCCCACTATGAGGGTGCGGCCGTCAGGCAGGAGCTTGCAGGAGCGGATGTAGTTGTCCCGGTTCTGGAAGGCAGACAAGAGTCGTCACCATCTGGATGTCATTTGAAACGTAAAAACATGCCGAGCCCCGACCCTACTTAAAACTCCAGGGGAGCTGCTCCTTGACAAGTGAGGTTTGTCAGGCTGGCGCAGTCGGTTTGTGTTGTGTTAGTGAAGATGTGGATGTCGGCTTTAACGAGAGCTGCAGGCCGCGGCTGTTGGCCAGGCTCCAAGAGAGCAGGAAAAACAGATCAATAAGAACCATGGAAGCTCTTGGCCGGATTAAAGCAGCACCCCGATGGCTTTATAAGACCCGACTGCACTCTGGACGCACCTTAAGGGTTTTGAGGGGCCACACGAGTTGAATGGCATGAAGCCACGGTATCGAAATGAGAAATGGGAGGCAGTTGGGAGGAAGTAATGAGCTGCGTAATGGCAGACCGGGTCAGCCAATCAGAACGTCATTACTCAGCAGGCTTTTTTTTTTTTCCTCACCAAGGATTATTTCAGCACAGCAGTGAGACACTTTGTTAAATTATTCACATCCCTGTCTGCTGGGATCTGGAGTCAGGCTAGATTTGATGCGCAAAAAAAAAATATATATATATATATAAATTTTAAAAAGCCGATTGCAAGGACCGTGTGAAATGATGTTTCATTATGCATGCATTATGCATGCATTATGTTTCTTAAACATCCGCATCAATAAAACAGATCTAACAAACACCTCCTTATAGAAAAGGGAACTGAGAAGTTGGCTACCAGGCAGTCGAGTTGGGACACCGGGCTCTTGCTTCCTGGTTGGCTGATGTCCCAGATCTTGACACAACCCTTGCCGCCGGTGTAGACGTGACGTGTGGGGTTGCTGATGGTGACGGCGCACACCACTTCCCCGTGGCTCAGCGTGTTGATCTGGCGAGCGTGGCGCGGGATGCCCGGGCCAATCAGTGCATCTGGAGGGAAGGGCACGGGCTGCATCTGACCGTCTGCACTAACATGAAAAGAATAAGCTCTGCAAGGGACGAAATGAAGGGAAATCTGGTCAGTTAGAGCCTGGATGTCTGCACGCTCGCTGTTACACAGCTAAATCCAAAGATACTCACGGTTTGCCTCCAGAAATGGACGTGAGGCTGGCTGGCAGGCCCGGAGCTCTCATGTGGGAATGAGGGTCAAACCCCGCCTGCATGACCAAAAGCAACCGCGAGTTAACAAGCAGTAACATGCAAAGATAAACTAGACTAGCATTACTGTATATTCAAATTAGAATGTGTGCCACACTTTAACTGCTGAGGCCCTGAGCGTATCTTTTCCAGGCAAATCCCTTGAAAGGCACAGACTCTGCTTCATCGCATACAGAGAAGCTTTACACAAGGCTACAACATCCCGCTTGCTAATGCTAATGAAAGCCTGGAAGATTCTCAAACACGGAGAGGCATTTTATTTTTAAAAGCCGTCGGAATGTTAACTAACCAACATCAAAGTAATGGAGCTAGGCCGTCTTTGTGCCATCTCATTACATACACATAACAAGCTGCAGCCAGCCAAGCAGAAATATTCACAATGAGTTGCGGAAATATTGCCTAAGTTTCTCAGCCATTTTTGCAAACAGATTCTATAACCTACAGCGGTGAAGGATAATTCACAGACATTAGGGAGTTTTTGTGTCAAACAGATGGATGAAATATATGTGAAGAGCAGCACATTTGGATTCATAAACGTTACATAGAAGCTGAAATATTTACAATTGGTGAGCGTCCATAGGCGGCGGCAGCAGCTGCACTCATCTGTGGGGAAATGAGACCCGGGTAGACGCCTGGGCTGGTCAGTGACCCGTTCATCTCATGGTGACCCATCATCGCAAACGGGGAGGCGTAGGAAGCCGCAATGGACAGAGGCGTACGCAGGGCCGGCGCCGCTGGAGGACAGAGAAAGAACACGTTAATGGAAAAACACTGCAAACGGGAGAGATATTAAATGAAAGAAAACGTCTGAAAACAGAAAACGATGGTTCATTACGGATATTGTGATACGATCAAAAGCTCCAGAGCTCCAGCTAATGGATTTTTTCATTTCCAAGGTCATGAATGAACGTTCAATCTAATCATTATTCTCTCCTCAATTCCTCTGAAGATTAGTTTCTTCATTGATCGTCTGGTCCTCAAAATATCATACGATTGTTTAAAAAAAAAAAGAAAAGGCCATCACATATTGCTATGCTCGATTTCATTTTGATTATTCAATCTATTATTTATTTATTTACTCGAGGAAATGCACACGTTACGCATGGTTGGTGGAGTACAAGTGAAGGTGTTCCCATACCCAAGGCCTCCATGCCGGGTGGCTTGCCCATGCTGAGAGGCCGGAGTCCCGGAGTGGTGCTGGTTCCTGCCGTTGGAGCCTCGTTCCTCGGAGTAGGCGTGTTGGACTTCAGGCTGGGTGTGGACGACTTGTCGTTCTAAAAAAAACAGAAATAGTCTTTAATCTCCGGGTGAAGAAAACAAAAGACGTTCAATCTGACTCAAGGTAATTCCGGACACTTCATTAGAGTCGGTTCATGCGACTGGGCAAACACGGTGACCCCTGTACTCGATTGATCCAGCTTTCTCTCTTTGCAGACAGAGTAGGAGCGGAGATTTTAGTCTGGACACACACCCTGAGGGGTGGAAGGAGGCTCAGTGTCATAGATGTGGACAGTAAGTCCATCCTAATCCTCAGAGACATAGTTTATGTAAAACCGATGATTGAGGATTGCCTGGTTAGTGAGAGCTTGGTATTAAAAAAAGTGGGAGAAACGGGGAGAGGGTGAGGCGAAGCAAGAAAAGACCGAGGCAGCAGTGTCTCTGGGTTATTTACGGCCTCAGGCGCAGGAAGAAATGACCATTTATTGGGTGAGCCATAAAAAGGAGATTGAGAGGAGAGAGCCGCAGGGTTTTTTTTCCACGAGGGTGCATCTCTGGCCCTTCGAGCCCCTCGCGGCGGCCAACTGCTAAGCCCCCTGCGCATTAGTCCTGCACACAAGACCCCCACTTGACTTGACAAATGCCCCTTAGACGGTTAGTTCGCGCCCCCCCACATTTCATCCTCCTCCGGGCCTTTCCGCAGCGTCACTCACGTGGCCGTGGTCCTTTGCTTTCGAGGACGGCGTGCTGCCCGAGGAGGCGACGGAGGCGGGGCTGTTGGGGGCGGCGTCCTTCTTCAGGACGCGGGATTTGTCCAGGCCGTTTTCCGGGGGAGAGTGAGCGGGGCTGACCCGAGGGGTGGCCGGATCCTGCAGAGTCAAAAAACGCACACAGAGCGAGACTGAGCAAACAGGAAAAAAGCCACCGGCATGTACATGTAGGTCAAACAAACTGGGGCCTCATGTGCAAACACTGATAAATATACTTGTGCGTGCTCATACACGCACGCACACACACACACACGCACACACTTTTCATTCACCTGTCACTCCCTTTTTCTCTTTGTATTTCTTTCTGGATGAATAGCTAAAGAAATACAACAAGTGAACGCACAAACACCCTCACACAACCAATATTATGACAGACTTTTTGGCAACGCGGAGACAAGGTGTGACACATGACAAAAGAGCGCCGTGTTTGGTCTGCGGCGCTCACACCGAGGAATGCGGCAGAGCGGATCAGTTCAAACAATGTCTTACTTCATTGGAAACGTCCACCACCAAGTCGTCACTTTTGTCTCCGTCGCTGTCCTGGAAAACAAAGGGACATGCTTAACATTGCATTATGTCCTAACAGTTACACAACCAACTAGGAAACGCTAATTGTAACACGGCTCTAGTTGTCATGTAGTGTCACATGTTAGTAAACATCAAAGTCAAAGTAGCATCAGAAAGCAGCACGGGATCCCGCCCACAACCAGAGCCTCAAATAAACACTCACATATCGGCTCATGCTGTCTTTGTCGTCCACTTTGCGTTTCTTGGAGTCGAGGCTGTAATCTGAAGAGCCGCGGTGCTTCTCACTCGCTGCCCGCAGGCTGTCTGACGGCGACACGGAGTTATTCTGCCAACGACAACAACAACAACATGCAGCCAGAATACGTCAGTTCACTTCGCAGTTTGCGCCTCAGCATCCTCCACGTAGCGCCAACATAGGAAAGGTGATCTACCCCCCCCCCCCCCCGTTTTGGACCCCCCCTGACATGAAGTAACTAACAGAGTGACTCTTACGAAATGAATAACCTTCAGTTCAAATAAAAATTAAAAACCTGAGCGACGCCCTGATAGCGTGTGACCCTCATTCAACTGAATATGTCGCAGCTTAAATGCAGCAAGTCCCTCTGAAACCAGAACAGCCAGAAACCAAATGGTGCGCTTAAGTCCAGGCACGGCTTTGGAGCCTTTTTCCTTTGGCAGAGCAGAGACAATATTGACTGTAAAGCTAAAACACACAATGCTCCTGCACCGAGCTGGGCTGATTCGGGACAGAAGGTGCAGACGAGGATTCTGGGACAGCTTAGTCCCGCTGTTGCTGCCAAGGCGGCGGAGCGAGGAGGTAACAGGCGAGGCAGCTGAGCAAACCCACAAAACGCCTCCGGAAGACAAAGGCATGAACTCGCGAGTTGCAAGGTGACACGCAGGGCAGAGTGAGGAGAGCTCCGGGGGAAATGTGAGGTGGGAGCAGAGTGCAGCATGGGATATTTGGTGTGCACACGCTGAAATCTAATCCCCTTGTAGACCCTCGCCGTGACCTGGTCGGGGACACGCTTGGAGCGACATTAACAATTCAAACCAAGCAGCTTACATTCCTGACTTTGTGTTTGCCTGTGACCGGCATGCGCAAATAAAACAAAGTGACCAAAATATGTCACGACGCGACCGTAAATCCCACCGTTGTGACGGCGAGAGTCCCTCGAGTGTGGCCGAGCGCGCGCTCTGTGACGAAATGCCAGAAAATAACATGATAATCAACCACAGTGAAAACAACAACAACAACAACAAAAAAATGAGGAAGGAAATAGAGAGGCCATTGAAGGAACCTGGACAAGAGTGCGATGTGAAGAACACAAAGAGGGTGCTGCCAGCAGAGAGGAGACCCGCGAAAGACGCAGAGTGACAAAATAAGAAAGACAAGAGAGCAAAACAGGAAAGGAACTTGGCAAGCCATGAGAGCGGAGCCGTGTGGAAATGAGTTCGCCCCACTAGTGGAAATTTCGGGACAGGCTCCCACTCTCTCAGAAGCTCAAAAGGAGGTTTTTGTCGCCTGCGCCCTGGGTTGTTTTTTTTTGTTTTTGTGTTTGGGGGGGGGGGGGGGGGGGGGGGGAGGAAGCAGAGCAATCCCTCAGGCCAGCCACCGCTGGCAGGCTGCTGCTCAACAAATCCCTGCCAGACAGACAGATACGGGAAGATGTCCGACCGCAAATGACGGGAGGAGGAAGATGAGCGGCTTCAGGGAGAAGACCACTCAGAATTTTTTTTAATTTTTTTTTTTTTTTAAAGGAACTGAGCTGAGAAGAATGTGACCATAAAAAAAAAAATTTAAGTAAAGATGAAAACACTGAGGTTGGACAGATAATGACACACTTTCTGCCAATTCCACATCCCCTCTTGTCAGATCAGAATATGCAGACATGTTACTAAGAAAGCGACAGAGTCGGAGTCTCTGGCTTGGTGCGGAGCGGCTGTCCGGCAGACTAAAATCTCCTACAGCATCACAGCCTGTCTGAGCCTGTGACCTTTAGAGGATTGCTTAGACTCAATAACCCTGCAGTTGCCTCCAGCTCTCGTATCAGATGACCTGAGACAACATGACAGGAAGACGGTGTGTGTGTGTGTGTGTGTGTGGAAAGAAGAGATGGGGGAGGGTGCTGAGGAGATCAGGTAAGGCCGTATTGGCAGCCGCTCGTCACCATACGAGACGGGGGACGAGTTTTGGGTTCCCTTCAGACATGAGTGGTCCCATTCAGGATGGCCAGTCAATGGGAACTCAATCTGGGCGAGCAGCTCCAACAGAGCGCTACGCTCCAGTTAACAGATCTTTAAGCCCGTCCAATAAACAAGGACTTTAACATGAGAAGGAGTCAAGAGAGAGAGAGAGGAGAGAAGCGCCTCAAGGGAATAAATGACAGATAGGAAGAAGAGGAGCGCAGAAGATAAAAAAAAAAAAACACATGTGGAACGGGAGAGCGAGAGAGTAGTGGATGAAGAGGAGTCGATAAGTGGACCCAGTGAATCCTCTAAAGCGAAGAAGAGGAGGCGACTCAAAGTCGCTTTTAATTGTGCTGAAATTAAAGGAGGTAGGCGACTGATAATCCTCGCCCAGTGATCAGAGTCACTTTCCAACTGGATTAGAAGGCACTGGCTTATTTGGACAGACTTCATTATAGCCCCCCCACCCCCACCCCCACATTAAAAACAATGGGTGTCTTCCCACATGGAAAGCACGGATTCCTATTGAACAGTGGGCTTAAATCTACGTAAAGCACACCTAATCACCACACACAGAGAGCCTGGCCGGCCAAGCAGAGACACACAGGAGGAAGAGGAGGAGGAGGAGGAAGAGGGTCAACGTACCGTGCTCGACTCGCGTTCTTTTGGAGGATGGTTCAGAGGCGAGTGAAAAGATGAGGGGCCAGGAGAGACAAGCAAAAACACAAATTATTATGGCCGTCGCCACGACTACCTGCACCCAAATCAGATAACACTATTCAATTATTACTCGGCCAAAAGATTAGTCTCGTTCCTGCAACGCTTCCATTTTTGTTTCCACTTTCTAATGAGCTGCGTTCAACAGAAACATTTCGTAAGTTGGAACTTGCAGTTTCTTTTTTGAACACTTTTTTTTGCGTCGAGATTCCTTTACGAGGCCTTATTGAGCACCTTTGGCTTTAGCTTGTGCAGAAAAGAAAACTACCTGTGTTTATTATTAGTTGGTCAAGTAGACCAGATGTTTGACCTCTGACCTCCTGGAAAAGTGCTCTGGGACCAAATCCGTTCGTTAATTATTCAACAACGTTTACGACTGCGGCCTTGATGACTCGCTTTTATTAATGACTTGGCAGTTAATGTCCAACTAGCAAGATGTATTTTTCACAACCACAATGACATCAATGGCTCGTAACGGATCAATAAAGAAATAAGTTACTGCTTATAAACTCTTCACACAAGGGGAGTTATTGTTACGTAGTGCGTCGTTTCTAATAATGCAAACAATACCAGGTTGTGATTATTTTATGTTTGAGCAATATTAAGAATTGTACTTCCAATAAATGACTTCACCAGTGAAATCCCCTCCAACATCTGGAGTTAGTATTTCTACACTGAACCGTTTCCTTATGCTGGTCCAAACTAAACATGTTTTCATGTCAAAACCTCAGTCCTGCCACATTTATTTGACCAAAACCTGTGTTAATGTTCCCTCCAACACACGTTTCTATGATAAATATATATCTGCCTGGTAAAAGTCACCTTTAGTTTCTCCTTTGTGTCCGTGTGTGTGTGTGTGTGTGTGTGTGTGTGTGTGGGCCGGGCAGTGATGCTCACCTCGGTGCTCCAGGTCGTGGTGGTTCTTCTCATCCTTCACCGGCAGGTGGGCCTGGCTGCCAATGGCACCCAGAGCCAGCAGGCCCGAGCCGGCGCCCGTCACGGGGGGCATGCCGGGCGGCTGCAGGCCTGAGGGGTGGGGGGGCAGCTGGACCGGGGGGCCGTGCGCGGCGTGGGACAGGTGCTGGGCCTGAAGCTGCTGCTGCTGTAAACAAACGCAGGGAGACAAGACAGAGGACAAGTGGGTCGGCTGGGAAGTGCGTCGCTGAGTGACCGCTCTCTACTCATGCATTAGAGCCGGCTTTGACAAGGTTTAGTTGTGGGCCAAACCATTTATGCACAACAGCAGCCTGACGGTGACTGCCAGCATGCTGATCCAGCTCGCTCCCCGTCTGAGGGGAGAGCGGCTTCTGCTCGTAGCTGCAGATGCACAGTGTGCTTACGTCTGTCTGGCTCAAACAGAATACGCTACTATTTATCGTTAGCTGCGCAGCTTCATCTCGACACGGACCACCGCCTGCATCGGGAGTCCCATTTAAAAAAAAACACTAGCTAGCTTATTACATTGCTCTCAAAGAACCAAAGTGTACCAAGACGGCAGTGCAAAGCAGGGCAGGGAGGTATTCAGATGATTGATCATGTTGCACCAACAGTCAAAAACACAAATATATGCTGAGAACAAAGAAAGGTGGCAATCAGGAGGAGCTGGAAGCAGAGAATATTTGACGTTAATGCTTTACAGTGCTGTTCTTAAGAGCCCCCAGGTGCATCTCACAGGCCAAGAACACTCATTAGAACCCTGCCGCAGTGTTTTAAAAAGTGCTTAGACCATCATATTTATGGCACGAGACATTTATGTTCGACCCGGCAACATGTCGCCTCCGGTCGTCAGCGATGATACTGGGCGGCCTTTATTTAAAAAACATTTTATTTCTTAACTCTCTCCCAAACCAGCGATTTTCAGTCACAGTTGGGTCGGTTAAAAAAAATCAATAGGTCTACACCTGAAAAAAAAAAAAAAACTTTCAACACTGGATGCAAAACATGCCTGCTCCTCCAGCAAAATGCTTTTAAACAGACACAGTGGAGAGAACACACACACACACACACACACACACTTCCCAAGAGGCCGTGGCCGTGTGTGTGTGGGAGAGGAAGCCAGAGAGGAGCTAGTAGATAGACAGGAGTTAAATAGCCACTCAGGCAAGAGGGAAGCAAGTGCTTTAAAACAAGGTTAAATAACACTTAGCACATCCATCAACTGCCTCTCCAAAGAAGGGGAAAGAAAAAAAAAAAAAAAAAAACATGATTGCTATTCTGCTGGCTGGGTAGAACTTCAATAGCCTCATCCATACATTCATTACATAAAATGGAGAAACTAGACGAGCGTATATCTAGTGGCTTACCACATTTAAAGCTTTATTTAGCAGCTGGCCATTATTCAGTCAGCTCATTATGTCCAGCTGGACCTGAAATCGCACGACGGGTAGAAGCAACTCAAGGCCTGCATTGTTAATCGATATTGTATCGGTGTGGCGAGCAGCCTATTTGCTGAGGAAAAGGAAAAGTGGGTGGAAAAAAAATAAAAAAATGAGAGTGCGAGCGAGGGGCAGCCAGAACAAGAAAAAGCAGGGAGAGGCAGAATTAGAAAATAACAAGAGAGGGATTGAGCCACGGACGTCCCTATTGAGTGTGCCTAATGAGGAAAAGCGTGCAGGGATCATTATCAAGAAGCCTCATTAACGAGCTACGGCTGAGGAGAGGAGAGACGGGGGAGGAGAGACGGGGGAGGGCTGTGGCGCGGGGGAAGGGAGATAGAGAGGAAAAAAAAAAAAAATTTCAGAAAATAAATTGCTTTCAATTCAATATTCATGGGTAAAGAGCTGGCTTCCTTTCACACTTATCTTTTTTCATTATGTGTAAATGCCGCCACAGCTAAGGCAACTTCCACAGGAAACAGGCAATTAAAGTTAACTAGGCGAGGCTGGCTCCCTGCAGAACGGGACTGTCAGGTGGAACAAGCGTCAACAGCACCAGCGCAAACCAGCTGGCTTAATAAGTCTGGCAATGAGCGCCACATTAGCTACTTATCCTGTGCTTTACGACGGCTTCGTGGGGGGAGGGGCATGGGGTTGCAACAAAGATTAGACTACATCATTTTGCTAAAGGAATGAGTGTGTTTTTAGGGGCTAGAAATAACAGTATCTGAGGCAGACAGAAAAAAGGACAGGATGCCAAAAATACCCAAAACACACCCAAAGACATGCTTTCTTCTACAAAAAGACACCAAGCGCAGCCACCCTCCCCCACCCCCCCTTTCACAAAGACACATGTTAAGACTGCCAGCAAGCAATTGAAAACACTTGGTGAAAAAAACAGATTGTTTTTCTATGTTTGGTAACCTGAACACTGACCATGAAGGCTGGGTAGACACTATGAGGCGGCTGCTGCTGCTGAGTCAAAGGAGAGAGGAAGAGGAGAGGTTCAGCCAGAAATGATACAAGCAACAAACTGAAGATAATACAAAGTTAAAAATTAAAAAAAAAAGATTCTACAGTGCAATCAGCAGACCCAAGTAACCAAAAAAAACAATAAATTATTCACATTCATGACATTTCTTTCTTGAAAAGAATGAAATGTGTTATTTGTTGATTGATGATGCAGAGCAATACACCATGTCACAACTGCAAGTCCAAAATAAGAAACACATTTGGTACAGCTAACTCATTTAGACGTCATGCTGTTCAGGGTAGTCGCAGTCTGCTGACAGCACGGAGCTAAGCAGCTAGCGCCAACAAAGGCTACATCCACTGACGTGCGTTTTGTACACAATAAGCGAAGTGTGGGCCAAACGGGAATTATAGTGTGATCAAATGTCCTCTTGTAAAATGTAGTTTTGGAGAGCAACTTTAATAATTACAGTTGTTTGTATTTACAGTAGTATAAACCCCATATGAGAGGAAACTAAGACCCGTTTTATACAAATAATCATGGTAAATGAAAGTAAAAAGGAAAACATTTTCGTTTTCTCTCCCTCCAAGTTAGTTTTGGTGGTGAGTAAAGTTTGCAGCCTTCAATCATAGAATCCACATGTCAAATTTAAAAAAACTGACAATCAGTGCACCTCTACTGTTGAGTATTAAAAGAATAAGCTGGATTAATTATTTTTGTGCCAATGACTCCATATAACCGACCATAATGTGTAGATGCTGATAAGTCGCAGCGTGTGTACATGGGCAGACTCTTACTTTATAAAAAGCCTACACACTCAAACTGGATGGAAATATGACCGTTTTTAATAAAGTAAATATACACATGCAAATAAAACATGCAAACTTGTGACAGAGGAGAACACTGTTGGCAAAAAAAAAAAAAAACCCAGGCAGTGTAACTTTACATCGGGTGTTCCACAGCATTTGAATAAGGGTTGGCGATGAGCAGCACACCACCTGTAACTGACTTGTTAAACATTATCAGAGTACAATGCTGCCACGGTGGACTTCATGGGAGGAGTATGATGACATTGAAAAGCTCCTGTGTCAAATCACACTCCAATCCTGTGTCGCCTCAGGCAGAACTTATGCAAAACATATTGTAAGTCGGACAAAACTAGTTTGCATCTCTTTTTTTTTTTTTTTTTTTGGAGGCAACTTTTTTTTGTGGTTTAAAAACTGTGGAAGAAATTCACATTTACAAAAAAAAAAAAGAATAATTGTACTGCATATGAACTTGTTTACTCTGGAAAGAGTTAACAAGTGGTTATATGCCCTGATGACAGGTGAGTTTACTTTCACATTTGTGATTTTCATAGAAAATATGCTATATATTAAATAAAACATATTTTATAATAATTGGGGCTGCGACAAGAAATATATTAATTTTTAATCAATCCTTCCAGTCTAGTAAATATTAGAAAATTGGGGAAAGTGTCCATCTCTAAAAGTTCCAACATTATGTCCTAAAAGTGACCCGGCGCTGGGTTCATCGGGTAACTCCAGCTGGTTAGGAGGCCGCTGGGGAACCTTGATACGACGTGTAGGTCTGGACTCGGAACGTATTTTACGATCTCGCTGCAGCAGGAAGCTGTCGGAGTCTGGTGCTCTCTGAACATCACGTTAATGACAAGAAGACCGCAGCAGCCCCGCCCCTCTCGCACTGTGGGTACATGGAGATTGATCACCTGTCATGTGTCTTCGCCCCTATAATTAAAGTGGGTTTTTCTGTCTGTGTGTGTGGCCCTGCCCCCCCTTAATGATGGCAGGGTCCCTCCTGTTTCACTGAGCTGGCTGGACAAAGCGGGATGGGGAAAAGAGGAAACAGGAAGTAATTACCTTGAAAACTGGGGGTCGTGCTCCTGGCTCATTTAGCTTAATCGAATTTCGATATCTGCCTCTCATTAGACTTGACCCCTCTGACCAGCGGGGCGAGCTAACCGCTGACTAACCTCTAACTACAGAGGGCTAATCAAAAGGGTCAGCTATCCATCTGCGTACAAGCTGGCTATCATAAAGCGGCTAGGCTAACAGTTTCTAAATAAAAGCAGATGGAAGATCAAATCACGGTGAAGTATATTTTACCAGAGTGGATTTCGTGTCCGCTTAGCGTTGTGGCTGCAATTAAAAGATCAATTACAGATTTTTAGACGTGCACTTTTCCACTACTAACCCATCGAGCGCTGCAGCTCTGAATAAAAGAAAAAAGAAAAAAAAACAACATCACCAAAAGAATAAACATGAAATCAGAATCAAAGTGGCTAATGTATTTGTCTTACGTGTAGTAAACTTAACTTTTGGACTTTTAGTGAGGCAAAAAAAACAACCATGAAGACGACACCGTGGTCTTCAGTAAACTGATGCAGATTTTAAAGTTATTTTCTGACATTTTATAGACTGAAAGATGCATTTAATAGTCAAGAATCCATTAAGTTATTTTGTCAATGAAAACAAGCGTCAGTTACAGCTCCAACAACAAAAAAGTAGCTAATTCAGGTGGTTTTAATGGTGTAAATACTACCAAATCAGAATAACAGGAGTTCTCCCTTATCTGCCAACATTGTTTGGATACAGCTTAAATGCATCACCCTCTACACCGTACAAAAGTTCAGCACCGCCGACGTCCCCAGTGCTGCTAATCTCTTACAATAACAATGCTTGTCCCTGACCACTCCAGCTCCCCCCGCTGCTGCTGGGTCAGAGGTAAAGGTAAGCCCGTTAGCTGCAGCCTCTTAAGCGCAGCCAAAGTGAAATCAGAGAAAGACCATAATCTGATCTCCGCCCGGACCGTGTTACTGTATATCAGATGTTCTTTGACTCTGAGGAGAAGGAAATCAGAGCACAGCTGCTGTTATGAACTGCTCGCAGCGTGCTGACAGGTCATGGTTAACCAAACAATCAGACAAATTACACCAGTGAAGACCATATTGACAGTATTATTGCAAACTTAAATAAAACACAATAAACCAGTGGAGACAGGGGCAAGTCTGCACAGGGGAGGAGGCCGAGGTGGGCTAGTTTGTATTCACACCGATTGTTCAAATGCCACAGATATGAGGGAGATGATAGACTAGTAGCAGATTAATACACCGAACTACTCCCTTCTCATCCCCCCCCCCCCCCCCCCCCGCTTCCTCTGCTGAATCTATTACCCTTTCCCACGTTATCCTCGACACTTCAGCAGAGGCGCAGAAAGGTGAAATAAACCCACGGGCTTAATGTAGCAAGCTTAAAACGTAGATGGGTCCGGAGTGGAGTGCCGGACCTCCTCTATGCATGCAGTTTTGCCCCTGGCCCCAGGTCAAATGAAGTAAGAAAAGGGGGTATACACACAGTGAGAGGCAGATTGGGAAGTCCACGTACCCCGATGATCGCATTCAGCTCAGTCATCGTGACCTGCTTGGCCCGTTCAACAGCCTGAGCCACCTGCTGTTGATGCTGCAGGACACAAGAACACGGATTAGATTCCTAATGAACAATGCATTAGCACACAGGCCAGGCCTGCACCGAGGCTTCGGAGAAACAAAGGTCTGCTTCACCTGCAGGAATATGCTTGAGAACGGAACAAAAGTAATTGAATCCGGCTTGGAGCAGACCCGATGAAAAGACGGTCGACTCAATAGGATGTAAAAGTTGATGTTGGTGAATTAAATTAAATGCTCCAACAATTATTATCGCTCATCATTATTACCAGCCGTATGGCAGTTTTCAGCTGTTACTCATTTCTTAGAGCAACAGTTAGGATGAGTTGCTTATGTTTTCTTGTGAGGAATTCAACTAAAATCTTTTGTCAGGAGAGAAGCCTTGATGAGGGCATTTCCAGGCTTGTTTTCAAGCTTCCTCACAGGTTTAAAGTCACACTGCAGAGCAGCAGTCTTAAGTGATGACATAGGATTAAATAGTTTACTATTCCATCCATTTCAACGCACCATTTTGTGGGGTTGTGCCGCTAAAGTCACTAATTAAATAACCTTTCCACGGTGTACATGATCGCTTTCCCGTCAATAAACAACAACAAAAAAAAAGACTGCAAGCTGGAGTGACACTCACCTCTTGTGATAAGAACGGCATGATCTGAGCCAGAATTGCATTGAGACGTTTGGCAATCTCAGTCTGCGGGGAGAAGAGAGAGAAGATGATTGAGTTATTGCCCTCCTGTATGCTGCGTGCTACAGGCAGCACTATAATCAAGCACTTACACTACCTGTAAAACAAAACAGCGAGCCTTTATGGGAACACACACACACACACACACAAATCTGGATACACCCTGTATTTCTTCCCCAAATGGGGGTCGTTTTAGTAAAAATGTCCCCCCCCCCCCCCCTTCTCCTGCCTCCATTAGACCCGGGCCTTATTTCATTACGAGGCTGAAATATGCTAATAACATCTGGCTGGAGAGAGCGTAATGAGGGCCATACTTCATAATTACGGCCCACGGAGCAGGGTGGGGCGGACTGAAGCAGACTGCTTAACTCTGCGCGTCTATCTATCAGAGGCCCTCTTCGGTATCGACCACACAATATTAGCTGGGAGGGTAAGCGGATACTGCAGGACTGGACGCACAAAGAGCACTTTACAGCGCTGCATTTGGACAAATGGATACGCCGCGCGGCCCACCTACCGCACTTGAATGTCCCAAGACATTTTGTCCAAACCCATTTCCTTTTTTTTTTTATATCTATATTTTCCACAGAAAGAGAGGAGGAAGGAGAGGAACACAAAAGTAGAACGCAGTATAAAAAGAGAAGGGGGGGGGGGAGGGGGATGGTGAAAAGGAAGTCTGATTTGACACTAAGGTAAATGTAGTTTGACTGAACTGGGGAGAAGGGGGGGAACTAATTGATTTAAAGAGATTATGGGTGGAGGCCCAGCAGGTGTGCGGGAGTCTCCATCCTCAGTTTCTATACGCCGCTTTATTTCACTCGTATTCTCTCTTACACTTGCTCGACTGTGAAAGGGTGAGTGTGTGTGGGGGGGGGGAGAAGGTGGAAAAGGGGGTGAGGAGGTGCCGGTGGCGGTCTACCTCACTGTTTCTTTTTGGAGGAGGAGGACAGGAGAAGCAGGACAGGCCTTTGCTGGCCTGTCGGGAATCATCTCACAACCTCCTGCGTGACCTTAGATGTACTGTGCTTTCTCTCTCATCCAGACAGCCCCCATCCCTCCCCCCCCAAACACCCCTCCCTACTAATCCTCACTACTCCCCTGCGTCTTCCTTCCTCCTTCGCGCTCATCGACCCGCCTTCTCCCTCCTCCGTTGCCGGGGCAACGCTATCTGGCACGGCTGATCGTTATGTAAATTGGGCTGGGGCCCTGACCAGAACAGCCTGTAAAATCATATTAGGCACAGCAAAGAGGCAGGTCATTAAATTGAATTTTCGGCCTGTCGATCTGATCGGCACGGGAAATTAATGAGGGATAACGGCGTGCGGAGGGGGCTGCACTGGGGGAGTGGGGGGGGGGGGGGGCTGTATGGGAAAGAGGAAGCTCTATGGACTCATAAACCAGCATCATTAGCGGGGGCACACAGTAGGATTAGAGTGTTTCAGTATCACACCACTTCTGTGGAAATGGCAGCGAGGGGAGCAACATGGGGCTCGTAGGAGACAGCGGTGTGCTGATACACTCGGCTATTAGAGCAACAACGTTACCACCCATCACCACGAACGGACTCCCAGAGAAGCACTCCAGAGCCTCCACGGGGGGCCCAAAACATCCAGCACTCAGCTTCCGTTGCAGCATTGTACAGCGTGATGTGCTAAAAACAACAACAACACCAGTTTCGGTGTACATGTCTGAAACGCCAGCTGCCCCACCAGGTAGTTTGACAGCAGAGATCATGTTGGGCCGTGTTCACCATTTTCTTCAAGGGTTAAAAGACTCCCAAACTTCCTCTGAAATTGACCCCACAGTCAAAATATTATAAGCCAGGAAATAAAACAATGGAGCAGACTTCCTTTGCATGGAACAACGTTTTTTTTCCTTTCTTTTTTTGTCCATTTTACAGCTGCAGTTAAGAGAAAGCGAGGGCATCAACCGTAAAAGCAGTCAACCGAATCGCTCCCTTTATCGGCTACATCTTGACCTTCCGTTTCAAATTGAGTCCCTGCGCTCTGTTCACACATGTTAGGGAGGGAAAAAACGGGCACATGGCTTATTTACACAATTCTTTCCCAGCCATTTGGCAGGAAAAAAAAAAAAAAACTCCTAACACATCAAATCCAATGACACGCGGCACTCTTGCATTACTCCCGCTTCACTTCGGCGGCACTATTTTCCACAGTGCTTTTAGTGGCAGAGAGCGCCACTGGGAAGAGTTTATTATCACTTAAAGCCACTGAAAACAGAAGCCTTTGAGCCAGCCGAAGCTTTTTACCGCAGCTCCACAATTACAGGTACTCAGGGTTGTCTAGCAGCACCAGAGCTTGGAGAGGCTCTCTCCCTCTCCATTGCATCCCTCCGTCAATGGTGCATTGAAAGCCATTTGGGTGTTTGTCGCTTCAGGCATTAGCCCCCCAAGTGGAGAGCAGAGTCTCTGACGAGGATTCAATTGGTGAAGTAACCAAGTGGCATGTGATGGTGGTGCGTTTGGGAATTATCTCCTCTGCCAAAGCAGAGGAAGAAAGACGCATCTTGTTCATTACAAATGCAGGAGGATTATTTTCGCATGTCCATGTCATTCTGTTTTAAACTCACACGCGCAAAACTGAAGACACGTCTTTTCCTGCAGGGAAGCATATGGAAATGAGTTGTTTTCCAACAGATTACACCCAATTTTAAAATCATCATGCACTTTATGTGTACGGACACATCCCTTGAACCGCATCAACAACTGACGGAGAACACACATACACATCAAGACACTCGTTGTGTAACTTGTGTTCTAGCCCGGCGATCAAAATGAAGCACGTCTCACAGCCACCAATAACCTCGTCACGCTCCCCTGAGAGAGCGAGTGTGTGTGTGTTCTTGTCGTGAGTTTGTTTCGGCTTAGAGACGGGTCGGCCATCATCATCCTTGGCAAATAATTCCAGGAATCCTCTATAAATTATTCATTTGCACAAGATCTTTTTCTCCTCTTTCATGATCGTCCTCTATCCAGGAATCTGACATGACACTCTGCCCGATTAAGCACGTTGAGTTTTTTGCTCATTCACTCACCAGGTGAGAGGAGGAATAGCTACGTGCTACACGAAGCGGCTCCTACCGCGCAACAAAACAACGGTGGACACACAGGGGGATGGAAACTGTTGTTTACCAAAAGAGAGAACTGAAACCAAAATGTGGATGAGCGTACAAGAGGTAAACATGGACAGCAACAGTGGAAAAAACAAACAAACAACAGAGTCAACGGGGCATGTTGCTGAGGCAGCCTAATGAGCTGCGCTAATTAAAATCACTTATTGACAGCAAGCGGGGGTGATTACCTCCAAACCGCACTCCTCGCCCTCATAAGAGACACTGTCAAAACAGATTACCCCCCCAGCAACCGCACAGATCCCCTCGCTAGCAACCACCCAGCACAGCACCAGCAAAGGGGAAGCCACGTCCCTGCAGCGATAACACAAAGTGAGTTTCATCGCGTCCGTTTATTTCCCCTCCACACCGCGATAATTCTTCTACAACACAGAAGTAATGTTGCTGCCTGCGTCCAATAATCAGGCCTCGCCTCCCCCCCACCGCCGTCCAACAACAGGGACCCGCTAAGAGCTGCCTGTTTAGCTCTCGCTGATGTCATCACAAACACTCCTTCGGCAGTGGGGGGGGGCAGGAATCATGCATTATTCAGAGTGCTCCGCCGACTCCAGCGGGCTTATTGATAAACAAAAGGAGATGCGCAGGAGAGGGCCAGTCGATTAACCCATTTATCCTGAAGCCTCTCACTCCTCCCGTCTCCACCCCCCCTTGGTTTTGTCCACTGCCACCGGCATGCAGCCATTACTGCCAGCACCCCTCCCCCCACCCACTCCTCCTCCCTCCCCACCACCCACAAACCTCCTTGTTGGCGATAAGTGCATGACAGAAAACGCGCAAGAACAGGGGGGGGTGGCTCCAACAGCTAGTTAGCGTGCACAGACACTCGGACACACACACACACACGCGCTCCTACAAGAAACGACTACACCTGATGAATTGTGCAGTGTGCTGCTGCTCCAGCCGGGCTCCCCTCCCACTGATGCCATTAACCTTCTGGATCTGAGGGCCATGAAGCCCCCCCCCAACAGACTCCCACTCTCATACATCATATCACACAGCTAATGACACTGGGGCCATCACTCACATCACATCGTCAGGGGTTCAGACAGCGGAGCGGGGGGCAAAGGAAGGAGGGGGGTTGGAAGGGAGGCGAAAGGTGACTGAAGGAAACAGAAGACGGAATCAGAGAAAATGGAAGCGTAAAAAGATTTTTTTTAAAGGAGGGGCATCTTGAGATCACGTTAATCTTTATTCCTCTTTTCAAGTGAAATGAATAAAAGATTATGCTAATGTTTGTTAATAGAAAAGAAAATGTGGCTTTCCAGGGCGGACTATAAAAAAAAAAGGCCTCAGGTCAGCGCTTTAGCTAAACAGAGGTGTTTTGCAGCCTTGTTCACAGGTTTGATCTTACTTTTAGAGAGGATTTAAGACAGCGGTGTCTGCAGCGGCAGATGTCTTATCCTAACCACGCCTAAAGTTAGCCTGCCAGGCAGCGTGCACACTCCTTAGAGTGGACACGCCTCAGGTACTGTCGAAAGAAACAATACCTGCTTTATGATTTAGAGCAAACAATGCGCTGCAACTTACAACTACTTTCCAGAGTCAGAGTCACTTAGTCGATAAATGTCACCAAAAGTGACACAGGCCAATAGAATAACATACCCAATTTACAAAAGTGAAATCGTAAAAACAGCAGAAAAATAATGAGTGAATTAATGTCTGTTAGAACCTCCATTATTCATGTCGGCACTTAAAAAAAACAGCCACTCTGTGAGAAGACCCCTTTGGTGTTGGAAGACTAAGATGCAAAGTACCATGACAGTTGAGTTCTACACTTCCTAAACTGGAAACAAACCAACCACCACTCCTATGGCCGAGGTGATTTAAACATATCGGCCCCGCTCTGGTTCTCTTCACGCCTGCAGACTACAGAAATGCCTCCTCGGGTGGTGTCGAGGAAGCTGCGGGCATTCTGCCCCGTCCAGCTCGTCTGTAAGCGTCTTTCCACTGCAGCCCGATGCCCAGCGCCGGGTGGCAGCTCAACTAATGAGCTTTTAGCCCGGCTGGCAGTGGAGAGGCAGACATGGAATAATGCAGGCGCATGTACACACCCACACACACTCGGAAGGACAAACCACACAAAAACACATCCTCTCAGACAGCCTGCCAAATACTTCACTTTAATCTTATCAAACCATCCCCATCAGGCAGCGTGCCCTTTGTGTTGTTTAGCCTGTCAGCATTTTCACTACAGGAAGCCAGCATGTGTATGCCTCTTAAAGTCATTTAAGGATGCGGGTAGAGGCTACGCTCAGGTAGTGTGTGTGTGTGTGTGTGTGTGTATTCCGTACACACTGGAGGGATGGGCAGTAATGTTTTGGCTACACCCGCATCATCCCTGATATGGCTACATACCTGTTTGTGCATCTCAATGTTGAGCCCATAGGACATCTCATAGTACTGTAAACAAAGAGGAGAAAAAACATCAATACACAACAAGGCCGGCTTTAAAACTTTTGTTTCAAAAGATTTTTCAGCGAGTTACTTTTTAACATTGCAGGCCAGACATTATCCCAGACAACACAATAGGAAAACCAAAGTTACTGGTGACTTTTGTCTAATGAGGAACACATAATGTATTAGTTCAAGGCAGCACAAAAAGAAAAAAAGTTAAGTTTGACAGGCATGACATTTTCATCCTCCCTCTAAAGTACCCAAACAATAAAATAGACAGGCTGAATACTTGTTGCGGCACAAAGGGCGAGCTATTTTAAACACGGTGACATAAACCAAAGAGGTTGACAACTTCACGTGCTTTGTGAAACCACAGCCGGCTACTGTTCATATTGACTCGAAGAAAGAAAATACAGGAGGACGCCAACAACCACCACGGAAAACAACTTTCTCCGCCGATGGGTGCCAAAGGATTGTTAGCCCACCAACATCAAACACGCTGAAATTTATTAAAGCTACTCCCACCACCTTCTGGCTCCTGGCAGGGGGGGTGGGAATAATGGTTAACCAAACGTACTGCAGCGTTTAGTTAACGCTGTTCTATTAAAGTACAAACAAGAGGCACAAGCTAAGAGTCGGGTCTGAGTTCCAACACTATTCGGATAAACATTGAGTTTGTTCGCAGGGAGAAGGAACCTTTCTAATGGGTATTGAGGAACGTATTTATTTGGCATTCATTTGATCCCCACCGAGCTCCCAACTGAACGCGAGATGTTTTAAATTTCACCTCTTTGCTGCTCTTTGACAGAAATCAAGCACCCATCTTGGCTTTCAAGTGAGGTTTCCAGAAAACGGTTCAAGTGCTGGCCCAGGACAGCTAAGTAGAGGCTTGACATTACTCGTTACTGACTTTTGAACGGACGCGACCCCGTGATATTAGGCCTGCAACGATTACTGTAATCACTGATTCACACGCGGGCCTTTTTTTCACTTAACGGGTGAGTCGTTTGGTCTGTAACAAGTCAAAAATAAGTCACGGAAACGTAGGTCAGCGGAACATGTTCATTGCACTCAACAATACGACATCCTGGATGAGATTGTGCCTCCGTTGCCCATATTGTGATATCACAGGAAAAACACTCACTGTGTAACGTCTCATTGACAATCCTCAGCCTATTATCTTTGTAGTTGTTCTCCCCCCCCCCTGGCTGAGAGTCCCTAGGTGTGTCAGGAGTGTCTCAATGACCCCGTGGTTCAACTCGGGTGAGTTAAGAAGTTAAAAATAATACAGGAAACCCTGTGATTTATGCACAAAGCCAGCAGAGCAGTGATTAACCCCCAGTGGGTCACGTCGGGTGTGTTGGGGGGAGGGAAAGGGGGGGGGGGGTCACAAAGAGGACCCTGGAGCCTTGGAGGAGGGTCGTCACACCTCACGATCAATAGTTGGACATTTGACCCCTGCTAGAGTTTCAACAATCCCTCCCTCCCCCACTTCACGCATCCCACCTGCACCTTCTTATCCCATGAAAGCAGAAATCGGGGCGGGAGCCAATAATACAGAGTTAAGAGCAAACGCTAACATGGCCTTTGCAAAGCGGGCAGGCCTCGCACCACCTGCGACCGTTCACCTGAGGCTGAAAGGGGAGGACACGGCACTAAATCACATTCATAGCTTCATGGCAACGGCTCTTACCATGACGTAGTGGCGCTGCATCTCCGTCTTTTCATTGGCCAGTTTATCGTACTCCACTTTAAGACTTCGGGAAGAGAACGGAGAAATGAAAACGGTTATTTCCTGTCATCTTCAATAAAAGCACATTAGCGTGGACAATGCTAACACAACAGAAGCTTCCTCTTGCTTTTATTTTTCCAGGAACGGGTTACAGGAGGCTAGTGATTACCTGTGGTACTGAGCCTGCAGGAACTGAAATTCGTCTTTGATCCGGTCACAGGACTCTGCCACAGTGAACTTGAAGCCGGGCTGCCCTGGCTGGTGAGGTGCCTGAAAAAGTGCAAGGTAGGAGATACAAGGGGGGTAAATAACACCATCACAGCTAACTACACATCCTTCTTCAGCCTCCTCCTTCTCGGTGGACTGTGTTTTGGGACATTTCCCTCTTTTGCTGTTTCAGTAATCACATGGCCCCCGATTGGTGGAGGAAAGAGATGCGGTCACACAGCATGTGCAGCGACAGAGGCAGGTCGATTCACGTGTCCTCTGAGTAATGTCGGGCGTGAGAGAGGCGTGAAGAAAAAAAAATAATAATAATCACAAGAAAGATGTGAGATTTCAAAAGCTAGCGGTTAACACCGAGAAATGCAGTCTGATTGCAGCAGGAGGTGATGATCTACTTTCCCCGAGTTGGACCAAAAGCTCCGATCTGCTCCCAGCCAGCGAGAGCGGGGCGGCTGCAGATGCGCACCATAAATAGTAAGGTGTGGATCAGCAGCTCCGCTCTCACGAGCTAATTAGGCTTCTTCCAACGGCGGCGCATTAGCATCAATTTACAAACAATGGCCACAAAAAAAAGGCAGCTACTTACCGGATGCCGGCCTTGGGGATACATGTCGCGTCCTTTTGCACGAGTGGATTCGGTGTTTTTCCCCCTTCTCCTTTCTTTCCTTCCTTCCTTCCTTAGTGCCGGTGAAGGTGCGGTAAATCACCGCCACCCCTCCCCTGTACACGCAGGATGGCGGCGGACAAAAGCGCTGTTCTGGGCGGCGGGGCGCGCGCTGGAGCGTCCCCTCCTCGGCCTCTCCTTTGAACCTACGCGGGGAGAAAGAACGAGGGACGGCTGAGCAGCTGAAGCACTTTCGCCGCAGGCGGCCGGAGCTCCTCGGGTGTTAAGAGTTAAAAGCTGTATCGTGAACTTAACCGGGCGGATGGGAGCCTACTCGTTGGCCGATGTTAAAAATTAAATGTCTTTAGAAAAATACTAATTGGGAAATGACGTTTTTTTTTTTTATTTTACCTCATAATCCCCATTTTATGCAAAATAAATTGTCGAATCGATTTGGATGACAAAGAGGGTAAAATTAATCCCGAAGTTGACTTTTTTTCCCCCACAACCTCAACAACACGACGCTTTGGGATTCTCGCAATACTAACGAGTTGACTTCCACAAAGGGGAACAAGAACACAGACGTAACACGGGTCGTTTTTGCTGATCCGTGGGGGGGGGGGGTTGAAAGCCATGAGAAAAAGACAAGGAGCTGCGGCTTTCGAAGTCGGCTGCCATAAAGCCGCACCACGACGGAGTCTCGTTAGCGGCTCTCCTCATGTCGCCCTTTTTACCTTTGTCTGGGCGGATTCCTCCCCTCCTCACAGGTGAAGAAAATATGTACTATCCAGAAACAAAAATCGTATTATCCTTCACGTGTAGCCGTCACCACGGAACGATACGGACAAATGTCCGTCGCGGTTTGTATTTTTCACTTCTTCGCCCCCCGTGAGAGTCCTTTAAAAAGGTGATTCCGAAGCGGAGAGCGTCTCTCCGTCCGGTCGGACGTTGGAAACCCCTCGATCGAGACTAGTTGTCGACGGCATACAAACTCGAAAGAATATTAGAATCCAAAGGGTCGGACGGGAGTCTTCCAGTAAGTCCAAAATGTGTTGTTTTGTGGCGGATAAACGGCTCCTTCTCGTGAAAAATGTCGGCCGTTGTGAAATATACCACGAGCTCACTGGTGGGTAAACCCGGTTCCTCCGTCGCGCGCTGTACCACACACAGACTGTGCACTGACACGACGAACCGAGAGAGGGCCCCGCGTTGGCCAATGGGGTTCTTCGGAGGAGTTTAGCGCCACCGGCCAATCACATCGCGGTGTCCCCCACGTGGGGGGAACGGCGCGCGGGCGCATTGATAGGCCCGCGGTACGTGACCTCACACACGTTCGCCATTTTGAATTTGCAGTGACATTCGGTGCTTTCGACAACTTGTTCAAAACAAAAGACGATTATTTATATATTAGTGTGTTTCTACCGGCGTTTCAAAACTGTGGGTGTAGGTTCAGAGACGTTTTGCTGGGGGTATACAAATAAATAACCCCACTAACCAAATCCAGAATGTAGCCTCCTGAAAAGCATTAAGTCCGACCCTGAACGGTTCAAAATCTAGAATAGGAAGATCACACTGTCTGCATCCTAAATCAAGGAAAGACAGAGAAATTGAAATCCTGAAAAATGAGAGCTCGTAGAATTCTATTTGAGACCTAAAGTGCGTAGAAGATGTGAATACCGCTTAATCTACAGCCGTGTGCTTTGATTGACTTCAATTGATCGACCTATTTCTAACGAGACCTCAAGCATCTACAAGCTTCCCTATCGGCACCACTAGGTAGGCTGCAACACGTCTGCGCTTGCGGATTTCAGCCTATCAAGTGTTGCTCTCTTTGCCCGGCCCCACGTGGGTCCGCTTCCTGGCTCTTCACTGCTCTCCAGCCAATGGCATCACAGCCGTCTCCCTGCGTGCCTTCCAATTGGCCGAGAGGCGGGAAAGCTGTCAGTCAGGAGGCAGGGTTGTCAATTAAACCCACGTTGGGTACGGCGCTGACAAATGCCTGTGCTACTCTCCCTCCTGCCTGCGAATAGTGCCTGGAATGGCTGCTTAATTAGCTTTGAATGGCTTTTCCTTTCAGCTCAAACAATCTGTCACTACCATGTGGTAAAAAGAGCCTTGCATAAAACAAAAGCAGGGAGAAAAAAAAAGCCAGTAGGGGCTAAATATCAGTTTGATTCCCCCCTCTTCAACCCCCTCCCCCACGAAAACATTTGCTGCAAAACAAAGCTTTTACCGCGCTCAAACATGAGCTTGTTTCACACGTTTGGTCCTGCGCTCATTTTTTTTCCTGAAATTATTTTTGAAAGTGTAATCTTTAAAAATGCGTGTTGACGTCGGCAGGGAAATTAACAGGAAACGTCAACTACAGTCTGTGAAGGATATGTCACAAAATGTTAAATTAATATTGGCCAGCGACTCGAGGATATTTGAAAATGTGAATTCTTTTTGAATTAATGTTTACAACTTGTCCAATGATAAAAACGTGTATCTCACTCCGATTCAATTCTTTAATGCGAGGTATTTTTAAAATGCAGAGGAAACCCGAGACCTCAACTAAATTCAATATTATGTGTCGAATAAAGAAGTGCCCAAAGCTTAGAAGTCCAAGAATTTTTGAACATAACTGTAGCGAGTATACTGCAAGATTTAGCTGTTGCTTAGCAACAAATGTATCCCTCCTGCAGATGCTCTGACATGGGAGTTGGGATAAAAACTAATGGACTGAGGGCATGTCAGCAAGCTGCGAAGAGAGAGAAGAAGTTTCACACAAAATCTTCCCTATTTATAATTTATTTTATAGTAGTCGTGTCGTTGTAATCACGGAACCTTTTAGCAGGAACAGAGCGTAAACTCAGCAACAACACGTTTAACACTTCTCAAATTCAGGGCTTCCTGATGGAACTTTATTAGTTCTCTCAGCTGCTGGTGGCGAGCATTGATTTGCAATAACCTACAAAATGTTCTTGATTATATACAAGAGTCGTTCTCAAAACATATAATCAGGAATTCTATCTAACGTCATACATACATATATGTATATATATATATATATATATATATATATATATATATATATATATATATATATATATATATATATATATATATATATATATATATATATATTCATTCATTCTATTTCAGTAGAGAGAGACCCACCTTTTTATGCTCTGTACTGGGGGACAATTCGTATCTAAGTGTATCTGTACAGTCCCGTGAAAGGGTCACTTCCTTTACAATACTTTGAAGTGAAATAGTAAAATACATGACTTTTTTTGAGTAGACATTCTTTGGAGAATTGTACTTAGTTTTGGTTCAACTATTTCCAACATGGTGGGCGGGTTACATTCTCATTCCCCACAATAACTAAGAGAGCTAAAGTGTAAGTCTGTACTGAACGGTCTTATAAGACGTTAGAAATTAGGTTTTAGTCTTGGGAAAATAAAGAAAGGTTGCACAGTAAAAATAAAATGTGTCATCTGAATAAGGTGATGTATTCCAAATCTTTATATGCTTGACGTATTTTAATTAAAAAAAGTATGAAAAGTTCAACTCATCTTTCAGAAAAACGAAAAGATATCACTGGAAATAATTTCCTATATGTCTCTGCGTTGTCTGACCTTTGACCTTGAACATGCATATACCTGCACGAGTCCTGGCTGCATGTCGACGCAAAATGGACCCAGACAAGTTACAAATTCTAATGTTCTGTATTACAATCCATTTTATGGAACCTCTTTAGCATAGAGGCATTTCCCAAAAGCGTTGTACCTGAAGAGGCTCTTAGAAACTGTCGTGGGTTGTCGGAGGCCTCCCGCCACTTGAAGGAGGTAAAGGGCATCTTAAGAACAGCCGGCTAGGAGGAACCAAAGACGACATGTTAAACTCTTTTAAACTCTAGTATTTTATGTTCATTTTTATGTCAACACCTTCATCGAGAACTCCCCGCTCAATTTCATCCGCACGGTCGATGTGCCGGTTCATGTGGTCATTCTCTTCCTCTTCCACTGCCAAAAACAGTCCCTTTTCAACTTCTCCTTATTCTCTATTTATCAAGCGTTAACAGAGAGTCTAATGCGGGAAAGTTGACAGAAGGACATTCACAAATAACCACAGATGACGTGTTTATTTGCTGTGGTGTGTGTGTATGTTATGTGTAATAAATAGTTTTAGGGTTTTATAAACAGAATAAATTCCATTTTTTGTTGCCCGACTGAAGTGCCCAAGAAGAGTAGCGATGCTGAAAATGTCTTCCTCCCCCTCAAACATGATGTCACAACGTTTGAAGAGTGAATTAGCAAATATCTTACGATCACTTGTAAGTCACTGTTTCAACCCACTTGTTATCGGGTCTTTATGCACAATAATTGCTTTCAGGAAGTTTTAGGAAGTTTCACATTTAGAAACAATTCACTTCCACCAATGGCTCAAACTGCTCTATACTTTTTATAGGTTTCAGCAAGAAACATCATTGGAAATATGCTTGTCTATCTTGTCGTTTTAACCTTAATCAATACACAAAAGTACAGTAGGATATCTGTCATCCAATGAGCCACGATTCCTGACAAACCTGCAAAACCCAACAATCAGAAAATGTGCAAAGTCAATTGTGGAAATCTACCCGAACCCGACCGCATCAGTTCATAAAACCAATAGATACCAGATCTGAAAGGGAGCCCACAACAGACAGACCCAGTCAGGAGAGGTTTGCGTGAAATGATACACAGAAAGACATGAAACGATCCTCACAGAGAACAACACAGGCTGAGTGATGTGCCAGCAGCTAATGAGCAGCTGAAGGTCAAAACAGAGGCAGTACATGTCGTTCTCCTCTAAATGTCACATTTCACACTCTCTGACACGCATTTTCCTTCTGCAACGCGAGTGAGAAATCACACGATATCACATATTACCCGACCAAATACGACTGAATATAATTCGGACCCTTCCCTGTTTTCGAGGTCCAGGGTCAGAGCTCTGCGGGTAAGACCTGTGATGACCTCTCCTTCCAAGAGTACTTTTCACACCGTCCAAAATCCACTGGCATCACCACATGATCGCCTATCCGTCATATCTCAAGTGGACGGGCACTGTTGACCCTTTGCCGCTCGGTTGTGCTGATGGTCGTCGGTCTGCTCCGCGCCGAGGATCCCGGGGTCGGTACGTGTAGGTGCGGCGTAAGGATGTGGGTAGTCTGGGAACCGGCAAACACTGCGGCGGTCTCCACAGGCCCCGAGACTCAAGGCCCACGACCAAACACACATTATCATACAGCTTCATCTCGCACGTCGAGGACTGTGATTATGTTTCTCTCTCACTCACACACACACACACACACAGATCCACTTTTCATCCCACTCAATAGAGAGTGGCCCAGATTAGGCAGCAACAAAGAAGGGGGCTTCACCTCTGGGATAAGGGGGGCCGGTCCACCCTTGTAGACCTATGCACTGTTTATTTGCACTGGAAACCCAGACGCTGTGAATCTCCCACTCGGAGGCACTACACAAATATTGGAGCTATTTGCAGAGGTGGTTTTAATTCTTTGCAGAGCAATGATTGGCTCCTTTCACTCTCTATAAGGGCTTAGCCAATGGATTCTTTCAACCGATCCTTCAGCCCCACACACCAACTCACACCAGCCCTAAAATAAACACACCTGATGTATATTTTCAATGACTTTAGTAGCCGCTGAAGACTCAAATCCCATTTATTCTCCTTATGGTATCGCGTTCTCTGCGCAAACAGCTCCTCTGCGCCAAGACCACGTGCTTCTAAGGCGAACTGACTTCTGCTGCATGCAAAGATCTACTGAGCAGAGACACCGTGTTCACTCGCCTCTCGGAGGCCCGCAGTGTGAAAACAAGGATGGGCCGTGCATAGCAATAAAGCTGTTCGCAACACATTTGGTGTGTGAGGGGGTTCACAAATGAAGAGGGATCGCACACGGGCTTCAAAGGCTTAACATTGATTAGCGCTTTCCTTCGCGTGTGTAAGTAGTCTCACCTTTGTGAAGTTGTTTGATTATCAGCATCCATCAGATTAATTACTCCGTCCATTCAACCGTCCGCTCATTCAGGCATCCGCGTCATTTTTTATTCCTTGGACGAGTGCAAAAAGGGGCCCGTCGTTTTCAGCGCGGCCCGTTTGGTGGGGCGGTCGCGGCGGCATTGTGAAGCACCCACTGCCTGGGGATTATTGACATGCTTTCACAGGCGGGTTCAGGCCATGAAAGGAGACATTCCTCGCCACAATGGACCCAGTGTGTGTCGCGGGGGCTGCAGACATGAATAGGGCCCCCAAGTGTATCACTGTGACTCGTCAGCCTGCAATCAATGCAAACAAGATGAAAGGGCCTCATCAAAAGA